TTTGTTGTTTCTTCCACGGTAGAGGACAACTGAGTATGGGACCTAGTCTCCTAGCCATTCTTTGTGCAGGGAGAAAGAAGTACATATCCTTTACACATCAAACCTCACTTAATCTCTCAGCAACACAGAAAACTTTGGAACAAAATTCTCTTTGGCTTGTTGAAATGGCAAAGTGTATATCATAAATGAGAGAAATTTTAGATCAAAGGCAATCTGCCCTGAAGTGGTAACTGGACTAGACTGAGCTAAATGGTAGTTTAACACAAGCTGAATGGAACCAACAAACATGGATTTAAAGGTTAAGAAGAAAATATGAATCCTCTTCCCTCTTTTTGCCAACTTAGAACATGCTCTCAAGTGCACAGAATACTGAAAATGATTTTGTAAAGTCGTGGTCAAAGAGAATCCTGCTGACATCCATGGCAGCCTGGCTTGAGGGAGACAGCCTGACATCTCAGATAAAGAAACTCTATGCCTTGTCAAAATGACACTCAGGTATCTCCAGTTAAACTTGAAAGCGAGTCTCTCACACTTCTCTGCAAGCATCCTCACACTTTTCTAATCAATGTGACTTTGGAATTCGGCCATAACAAAATGGAAATGTTCAGCCTAATCAAGCTGTCAGGATAGAAATTTCATGTGCTAAGCCATGGAACCTTCCTATTACTTCTGCTAAGCTCTTATCTTTTAGCATGGTCTTGTTTCAACTCTTTTTGGCAGAAAGAAGGTCTATAGCTGTGACTGTCCTTGATTTCAAGGAGCTAGAGAATAAAGGGGCAATCTGGTGTTCAAATCAAATGCCTAGGCAAAATGGTGAAAATGTGGTTAATAATTAGAGAAAACATTGATTCAGAATCCTATCATTACAAGTCTTGCGCTATAGCTTAGACATGATCTATTCTTAAAAAGTTCACATGGTGAATTTGTTTCCAGTGTGGCCATATCCAGAAGTAATATAATAACCTTGAAAGAGTGAGGCTTTCTACAATGTGACTGGGCCACTGGGTCACTGGGCCACCACCCTGGGAAGAAATCAATTTAGGTCTATGAAACTAGGTTAGTTCTAAGAAAACGGGAGCCTAAAACCTCTTCTTTTGTGAGCCTTTCTTCTGTACATATTCAAGCTACCACCATGTCATGCACAATGAGGTCCTCGTGAGAGCTAATCAGACAGCGCCATGGCCCAGAACCTTCAAAACTGCAAGCTAATCAATTTCCATATATAGTACTCACCCTCATGTGTTCTGTGGAAGAACACAAGAGAAAAAAAAAAACACCTAATTTAATCAATTTACCTGGGCTTCTTATGATTGCCTCCAGTTAGTTTTCCACTCTGAGGACAGCAGACACAAAAAGGCAAACCTGCTGAGGTCAATTTTTGTTTAAATTGCTGTTTTTGCTTTTTAAGAAGTGTCTCATATAGTACAGGCTAACAAGGCTGACCTTAAACCCTTAGTCCTTCTGCCTCTACTTCCTGAATGCTGGGATTACAGGACTGTGGTTTCAAATTCTTTAATGGCTTGCCACTGACTCCAGGATAGTGCAAATACTCCAAGAAGGCTTTTAAGGTCAAAATTATCACAGTACTTCTTATCTTCCACTTTCTCTGGTCTAGCACTTTTACATAAGAAATTCCCTTACCTGCAACAATGAAACCATGCTCAGCCTTTGTGTGCTCTCTCATCTTCCAGACCTCTGTCTATATAGAACTTTTTCTGTTAGGCTTCCTCTATCATTTTCTTTCTTTTTCTCTTCTTTCCTTTCTCCTTTTCTTCCTTTCTTTCTCCCAACATCCCCTGACTTTCCTTCCTTTTTTTTAAACAATGTTTTAACCCTTTCCTCAAGCAGCCTAATTTCTTTTATCAGCATTTCTTCCATACTGCTGCTTTGTATGCTCACCTCTCTCTGTCTAGACTCTAAATGTACAAAGGTAGGTGCCATGTTTGCCTCAGTCACCATTATGTATAGTACATGCCTGATACACAGCAGGGTCACACACACATTATGTTAAGTGCTTGCTTGAATTCATGTATATCCCTGGCCCACAAAGGCCAGAAAGAGGGCATTAGAGCCCTAGGAATTAGAATTACAGATGGTTGTAACCTGGTACTTGGGAACAGTTATTTCTCTTAACTGTTGAGGCATCTCTTCAGCTCCCACAAAATCATGGTAATGGAATAAAAAAATGAAACGGATCTAGGGAGGGAAGAAGCCATATATAGAATAAGCTTGTTCCTGAAAACATTTGGAAGGTAGAATCTGAAGGGATTCTCTGAGGCCATATAAAAGCATGATCTTGCTGGCTTGAACCACAGCTGACCAGAGCTGGATATGTCCCTGTAGTTCTAAAGTGGAAGCTGGGGAACACAGTTCTCAAGAGAAGGAAATACCAAAAGATGCACGTTCAGGATATCACTTGGAACATCTTAAGAAAGGGGTTCAACAGTTCGAGGTATGGGTTACTTTCTGTTGATCAGTATGGTCCCATACATGACAGGTTACTGCCATTGTTCTTGGTTATCCTCCAGAATTTGATGGTTGAAGATACCACATATTTGAGTCAGTAGACATGGAGAATTTGATCTGATACTAACCTAGAAGCTTCATTTCTACTGGCTAGCTTCCACAACAGTGGAAAGTACCATGTAGGTTCAGGATCAGGAAGGGAGTGTCAATAATCTAACTCAGGTGTACATCTTGTAGATATGCCCATGGGGGAAGAGAAGGACTAATGACATGGGAGTAACTGATAACTTTTCTGGTTAGATTTAAGGCCCAATCCACAAGACAGAATTCATGCCTGGTACTAACCAGAGCAAGAATCCATAGCTGGGTAGGTCATGAGCCCTAGGGGAGAACCTACAATTATTCAGCTTAATCAACATCATTTTAAATTACTCCCTAAATATGTATCTTTATATCCATAAATACTATTTCAACACCTATCAGAGAAGCTTCTTTTTGTAGTAAGTGGTGGTTAATACAGAGACTCACATCTGATCAATATGCAGAGAACAAGATACCAAAGACTGTTCTGCCCTTAATGGGACACCCGTATCATACCCTTCCTCTACAAATGTCCCCAGAGGATCACTAGAGAAGAGGGCAAAAAGATTGTTAAGAGCCAGAGTTAGTGGAGAGCTACTGCAAAACTGTTTACAGGATATGACAGGCTACTATACATACGGACTCAGTGGCTGTGACTAAATGCACAAGGCCTGCACAAAATCAAGCCATCCCAAATCCCAGAATCGATGAGGAAGATGCTCACAATGTTCTACTCCTAGATGAGGACCTACTGGCAACTGATGGCTGCTGGGGGAAGAAAAATGTCAATTTTCTTCAGGGATATAACCTTCCATAGGTTGTTCCTGTTCCAGTAGAGGGTCCTACACCCATGGCATACTGGTGGTACTAAAGGGTTTAAAAAGAAATACATAGAGTTGGGAGGTAAAAGTGATTGTGGGGATACAGCAAGGGTTAAAGGGGAGGGAACAAGGGATAGATTTATCAAGGCACATATTCATGTATGAAATTCTCAAACAATACATTTAAAGGGGATCATTCAGATGAGGTAATTAGTTTTACCAGTCAATTTGAGAGGATTTTGGTAGATGTGCCTCCATATATACCTGGAAAAGATCATCTAGGTTAGATTGGCCTCTGGGCATGGTTGTAGTGAATTATCTTTATTAGTTTAACTGAGGTGATAAGGCTTTCCCAATGTGAGTGACATCATTCCCTAGGTGGGATCTTAGAATGAATACATATTTGAAAAACTGGGGTAAACACAAGCATTTATTGCTCTTTCATCTGTTGTAAATGCAATGTGACCTGCTGCCTCAAGTTCCTATTGCCTTGACTTTCTAACCATAATGGATTATATCTTGGGCTGTGAGTAAAACAACCCCTTCTCTCTTAAGTTGTTTTTGCCAGGGTATATTTCATCACAGCAAAAGGAAAAACAAAAGAACAAAACCTGAGACATGAGGAAAAAGGAATGACATTTGTTAGTCACAAATAAAATCAGAGTCAAATACTGGCTCCATGGGAAATCTTGGACAGTTGTTTTTTAGGTTCTTTTAAGAAGGAATTAACTACATTAGTGAATTTTGCAGTGAGATCTGAGGAACTCTGTCTCTGCAAAAGCCACTCAGGCTCTATTGGGATGAAGAAGAAGGTTCACCAAGGGATACAGTCTTCACTCTACATAAAGACAAAGATTTTCTATTCACTGAGGTTCTACTTAAAATCCACTAGAAAGGGTAGAAGTACTTGAACAAATAAAGTTTGAACAGCAGAGACGCAGACATCCTTTCTGATAGCTCCCTGTCATAAGTCCTTTAGTCTCCATGACAGATGGGGTCCGTCTACACATTATAATTTGCTTGATAGCACAGCTGCAGAATTTCCTATAGTCTTTTCTCACTACTCAAGCAGATGAAGAGGAAAGAGAGTAAAGTCCAAGTTTACTATAAGGCTGAGGTAATAAAAATACCCTGTTAAATTTCTTCCAACTATTGATATAGAAAAGTATAAAAGTCTTCCCCATTTAAATAATTTTTTATACCTATTACCTAGTATTCATTGTGATATTCATTGTGACAGAAATAATACAGTCTAGAGCACATTCACAAAAGCCAAAAAGAACAAAAAAGAACACTGTAAGTTTAGTAGGTCCATCTGATAGTCTAATTACCATTCAAATATAGAGCCTGCTCCTTTTAACAAGGTATTCTGAATGTGCTAAAGAACAAAGCAAAGTCTTTGTCACTATACACTTTCAAGTCTACCTTTATCTGAAGTTTACAGGCAGAGAATAACACAGATGAAGAAGGAGATGGGAGTCATACAAAATAAAAGCCATAAAAAGCCCTGAATTAAGACAGATATCCCTTTTCTATGCTATCCTTTGTTTGTCTGTATCTCAGGAGGCAATAGCAGGTTACAAATGTCACTCCACTTCTAAGAACAGACAAGCAGCAATAATGTAATCTTACCTGGGTCCTTCCTCGTCACCCTGAAAAACAAAGAAGAAACAGTATTAGAATTCATTGTTGGTAAAACCTGGTCTAGATTTCTTTAATTTCCCTCTTCATGCCAAACCAAAAGCAAGGCTGTCTATTTTAACAAAAACAAACAAGAAGATAACTAACACAATGGTTCTCAACCTTCTTAATGCTGTAATCCTTTATTTCAGTTCATGTAATGGTGACCCCCCAACCATAAAATTATTTTGTTGCTACTTCATGACTATAATCTTGCTACTGCTATGAATTGTAATGTAAATATTTGATAAGCAATCCCTGTGAAAGGATTGGTTGACCTCCCAGAAGGGTCACAACCCACAGGTTGAGAACAGCTGGTCTAAGGGCTAAGACAAAGACTATTATATCCCTACGTTCAAACTGCCCAGCAGAAATGAATTGATAATTTGCCCTTGTAAGCATGGATTGTGAACTTACAGACCTAGGAGGTCTAAATAACAGCCTTTTGTTTAGTTTTCATTTCTATCGCTGGCAGTATTCTGAGTAAACTGAGAATCCCAAAATAGCAGTTGGTCTTAGGCAAAGCTGACCAGCTTCAAAAACAACAAACTGGTTTCTTCAAAAACTCATTTCTATCTTGGTCTAGCACTTTTACTTGAAATATGAACACAGTGTTCTACTACACAGCATATTAAGATGGAAAGGCTTCTGAACTGGCACTCAGGAAACAGTGATTCTGCTTGAAGTTTTGAGAGTCATGAGTATGTGCCACTGGGGCATGCTAATTAGTTAAAATGGCCTTTGGTTCTCCCTCTGTAAATGGGTAGTTTGGGCACTTGGTAATCTACCTCATTCATTACCCAAATAATACCTTTTCTCTTTTTCTTATTTATTCTGCAAAAATCAAGTGTATTATTTCTCTAGGTATTTTCTTCTCTTGACCTAACTTTATCAGTAACCATCATAGCAGATTATTTGGCTTCCCCTTTGAAACAAAATGAGAGCTTTCAAATGACTCTGAAGCCTTTCTCATGGTAGCATATTTATTATTCTGGTGACAAATTATCTGTCACACTCCCCTCTTCAGTCATTCAAGGTTGATTTTAATAGACATTATACTTTCTGGTTGTACTCCCCAGAGAATCAATAAATGAATGATTACAACTTGTAATAATCTGGAACCAGGTACTCTGGGTTCAAATCTTGACTTACTTGTTATGTTACTCTAGCTAAGGTATTCTGTCTCATTGAACTTCAACCCCCTAGTTTATAAAGTGGGATAATAGCTGTCTCTGTATCATAGGATCAACGTGAGGATCAATAGGATTAATATTAATTAATGTTCATAATTGTTAAACATAGTGCTTGAGAGGACACTGTTAATAAAGATTACTGATTAATATCAGTAGTAATTCGGTATGAATCATAAAAAAAGCAGTATGGAGGAAAATGATCTAACTTTCTATGAGCTCTCAACAAGGTGGTTCATGCACACAGAAAATAAACTAAGTATTCTACAGACTCTATAAAAGGCATAAACAGAGTGACCTCAGCGACAAAAAGGGAAGAGAAGGTGACATGTATATTGACACTTTGGATAGGCAGGATTTGCTCAGGCTGACAACACTAAAACGTAGGAAGAAAACTGGAATAACAAGAACAAAGACGATGGATGGATGGATGGATGGATGGATGGATGGATGGATGGATGGTTAGACGGACGGACAGACAAGACAAACAGATGATTGGTAGGAGGGTAGGAAGAATACTGGTATAACAAGAGCAAAGACATGATAGTTTAATTAACAGTTAGATGATAAGATACATAAAAGAAAGTGAGGGAGAGAGGGACAGTTTGGGTTCTGTGGAGTGGGGCTAAGGGCAGTGTGGGGTCAAGAATGCAAGTGAGATAAAGGCAGATTACCAAAGATACCAACTCATTACTACAGGGCAAAAATGTAACACAAATTCACATATACTGATCCTGGAGTAGAAGGGCAATGGCTTGTTAACATAGGGTAAGAGGAAATAGAGGTCTGGAAACAGTCTCCACAGGGAATGCTATTAGTACTTCCTTACTGATAAAGCAGGCAGAAAGAAAGTTAGAGTTTCACCTACAGGTGCATGTCAAATGAGCCTTTTACTGAGAAGAGAAAGGGCAAAACCAGTAAGTAATGTTTTGCCTAAAGGCTCAGTGAAAAGATAACTTGTTAGTGTAGGGTAGTGTAGAGAACAGAAATTCAGCCCACTAGCTCAACTGCAATAGTGCCAACTGGGACTGATGAGCAGTTAGCTCTTTATGTATTCATTCTAGACTAGGCAGATATGGCCAAAAGCTTACTCTCTAACTGGATAGCAAATTTCCAAGTTCTTTAGTTACAGACAGTAGATTTTTCTTGGGAATTTTCTTTTTGTTTGTATCTATTAGGGTTTCTAAGTTTACAGAATACCCAAGCCTGGAAATACTAGAAGGAAGTAAATCTTGTTAACTCTCTGCCTTGTACATCTTTAAGTCCAATGTTCCCGGGTAGTACTAAATCTTTTCCACTCTATCAAGTTGTTGTGGTAAATCTCCAACCCAAATAAGACCAGTCAAAGAAAACACTACTCAAATATTATGAATACAAACTGCACGTCTAGATTGGGCAGATTCATCACTACACTACTCTATTCCCCATCTATGAGATCCCTTGTAACTTGCTGTTTTCCCATGCCACATGCTGTGCTTCTCCTCCACTGTCCTTCCACCTCTTCCTCCTCTATCATCTTCCTCTCTCCCAAAACCTTTTCGCTCCACCTCCCTTCTTCCTACTGCCCAATCACTGGCTCTAGCCTTTATTTTACAAATTAAGGTGGACAGAAGGTTCACAAGAAGTTGTCTGTATACTGATTCACTTCTAGTTTGCAGCCCCTCCCAGGAAAGCGGAATTAGCATCAAAATACAAGGCCAGGGCTATCCACAACATCAACTGGCTTTCATCAAGGGATTAGAGAAAAAAGTAAAACAAAACAAGTTCATGATTCCTTGCAGAACCAGAAGCTCTGTTCTGTTTCTTTGCTTTGCTAGGTAGGCTCTCATGTATCCCAGACTGGTCTCAAACTTCTTATATAGCAAAGGATGAACTTGAGCTTCTGATCCTGTTCCACCTTCTGAATGTTGGTGTGTGACCCAACACACCAATTTTATATGGTACTAGGATCAAAACCAGGAATTTATGAATGTTAGGCAAGTGCTTTACCAACAAAGTGACATCCCCAGACCCTCTATTCTGCTTTTAGCATTAAAAATGGATTGATAAGTCAAAGGTTGGAAAGATGACTAGAAATATAGATAAGTAACTATTCAAATGTCAATGAATTAGAACTTAAGTAATATGTTATTAAGGTGTAATCCTTAAAATACTTCCAATTTTCCTGTATATTTGAACATACTCTTAAAAATGTTGAAAAGGAAGTCTTTTGACTAAATTTAAAATACAAGTAACTTTTTTCCTAATTTGTGTTATACAAAGGAAGCAAAAGAATTCCTCAGTGGAGTGAGAGATAACGGATATTTACTCTAACTAATAAATTTCCAAATGAATTGGAATGAGATGCTATTAATGACAAAAATTCTGTGGAAACGGTCTACATAACAGAATACTTTTTATTCTTAATAGTGTCATTGTGTCCACAGCCTAGTTATTTTTGAAAGTATAACTTAATACGAGGGCTCAAATCGAGGGGATCTGAATTAGTTATTGCTGTTGACCCTTTGAGTCAAAGTGACTAACTCACCTTAAAAGGTGTTAGGTATGCAAGAACTGAATTCTCTTGATTTCTCTCACAGGTACAACAGGATACTTAGCATACAAGATTGAAAGTATCCAGTAGAAAAAGACAAACTGAATTCTAAATCCTGGTCCCATTTTCTACTAACTAAATGATACCAAGTTAGTGTTTCTGTAGTTCTCTGCATCTCAACATAGCATCTATAAATGGAGCTGACAAACACAGACCTTAGTTAAATAAAATGATGACTATAAAGTATTCTCTTGTACATCAAGAAACTTAGGCACACACTTTTCTAATTCTAGGAAGGACGAAATGAAAAGAACATCTATTCTTTCCACACATTAATGAAAACCAATCAAGAATCTTGGATGGGTAGAATGTTTTCTTTTGTACCTGTCAAACTGACTTAGCAAGACCTGAATCTGGTGTTACACCCTGACTCCCTCACTGGCCAGTATATTCTGTGGTCTGGGCAAGACTGTCAATTAAGGCTGAACTCACCAACTCAGCAGCAGTCCTGGAATGCCCACACTGAGATTGACTATCTTATGTTTTCTCATAGAACAAACTATCTCAACCTACCTGGCATGTATTTAACCAGAAGTTTCACCTACCAATATGAGAACACTAGCTTTTCCCTGACACAGATGCTTTAAAAGCTGGTTTTGCCTTGGCTGTCCTGCCTGCTTGCCTGCCTACCTGCAGGCCTACCCTTTCATCCTTCTTTTGTATATGTACTTGGGTGTATGTCTGTGCAACATGTACATGCAGAAACTTACAGAGGTCAGATGAAGCAAGGAATCTCCTGAAACTAAAGAGACAGATACTATGTATATGCTGGGAACCAAACCTGAATCCCCAGCAAAAGCAGTTACATGATCTTAACTGCTGAACTATCTTTCCAGATCTTCTTCCCCCACTTTTTAGACAAGGTCTCTATATTCCTGGCTGCCTTAGAATTAGCTATGTAGACCAAGGCCTGCTTCAAACTTATGGGGCTCTGCCTGCCTCTGCCTCCTGAGTACTGAAATTAAAGTCAGTCACCATTATGCCTAGCTTTTGCCTCAGTATATACGCAACAGAAATGTTCAAGAACGTTGTTTGAACAACACTTTATTGTTATAAAACGGCAATGCATATACTAAAGGAATACCGCTTCACATTTATCTTGTGTTTTTTGTTTATGTTATTCTCTTTTTACAATATGCTACTCTTTGCTTTGTTGTAGTTTTCTTAGGAATTTTAGGTTTCTTTTGGAAACAGGATCTCACTATATAGGCCAAAGTGATCCTCCCTTCTCTGCTTCAACCATGTGTTGCTCTAAGTTCAGCAAATATGCCCTCAATGTAAACAGATGAATCTATAAAATACCCAATGGGAAGTACTCATTTTGCTAGTCACAAAGTTAAATCACAATTTCTCACTCTGTACTGCTTTAGGCTTTACTCCCTGATTCATTCTAACTCAGCCCTGTTCTCATCTCTAAAGTGATTCAGCATTTTCTTGTTAATTTGACAGCTTGAGATGGGAATGCATCAGTCACTTGTTCTCTTCTCTGGTTTGGATTTCTGGTTTCTTAACTGTGATTAGTATCTGCCTCATTGACTACATTCCTTTAAGTTATGTTGGACAATACTTTGCCAGACCTAAAAGCCAGGAATAGACCTTAGTAGCCAATACTTTCACTCTAGTTTCCACACTAGTTGAAATCCTCCCCAGGTTTTCATTTCATTTATGTTTAGAGATCATAACCAGGCATTTTCAAAGCTAACAAATATGGCAGTCCCATTCCCCACAGCTCTGCTACAAATCAGCAACATTTTTATTTACCTCCGCCTTTGGCTCAGCTGATTCATTAGAGGTATCAAGTTGTTCCTTGGCCTGGGCCATCTGAGTCATCAACCTATCCATGTGAGATTGGATGTCCGCCAATATCTCAGTCACATGAGCCGTGGCCATTGCTTCTTGGATGTCCACTAAATGAAGGGCCTTCTGCTCCTCATCAGCAATCACTTTCTGAACTTTCTTAAATTCTTGCTGTATAAATACCTTCATCTGGTCTCGAGTTACCTGTAGAACAGACAAATAAGAAGTGTAGATTGAACATAACAAAGAAATGAAAAGGTAGAAATTTTTAATAGTGTTAGGCAGCTCTGTTCAAAATACAAACTAAACTATGGTTGCTGTCTCATTTTGAAGTCTTAGAAGTATGCTCTCAATATTTCTTCAACATCTTTCATAAATTTTCTGATAACCATCTCTATTGTTCAGGAACTAATTCCTTATCCTCTTTTTTCCTTTGGGTTTTATTGATTTACCAGTAATATATAACTACTTTAAAAATTATAATAGATGAATACATAAAATAAAAAGTGCAACTTCTAGCCCGATATGGTGTTTCATGCCTGTAATCCCAGCATGCTAGAGGCTTAGACAGACGAATGCCAAGAGTTCAAAGCCAGCATTATCTACTAGTGAGTTCCACAATAGCTGGGCTATAGATGGCTGTTTTAAAACAAACAAACAAACAAACAAACAAACAAACAGAGGAGGAGAAAGTCTGAAGCAGGAATAGCTGTATATGCCTGTAACATCAACACCCAGGAGGCAGAGCTAGGAACATCAAGGAGGTTTGAGTCCGTGTTCCTCAGTATAATAAGACTGTCTTGAAAAGTAAAACAGGAGGAACAAAAAACTTATACAAACAAACAACCAGTTCAATAGATGGTTTACTTCTATATGGTTCTCATACATATATTAACTGGGTAATGTTTCTATAAATGGATTACAATAAACATATGGTTCTGTTCTTGCTTTTCCACTTAAAAGTTAGTGACTACAGACTGTATCTTCATTTTCTTTTGTATTACTTTTTACCACTTGCAGGATAAAAGATATATCCCATTTATTCCTCTCTTAAGAGTAATGTACAATTTTTGTATTTTTACTATTACAGACAACACAGAAATGAACATCTGAGGAATTACTCTTAATATTTACATGAGTGTCTTCAGAGACCTCTTAAGTCACTAAGCCATTTTATATATACTCTAAAATTATTGAGTGATGCTGCTAAACTACTTTCTGCAAAGGATGTAGCAATTATACAATGTATGAAAGGAAGCATTTCTCTATAACCTTATCAATACCAGTTAATATCACAGTTTTACATTTTTCAACATAGTAAGTAAAAAAGTTATTATCTAATTTTACTACAACTATACACCAAGTACACATGCACACATCTGTAGCTGAAGCTGTATTAAAAACCTACAAAAGTAAGAACTTTTAAATACTCCAAATCTTGACAGTAACTATATATTGTAAGCATATTATTTTAAAAACTGTATTTTCTTGTTTTGCTTTGCCTTTTTTTTTTTTTTTTGTGCTGAGGTGCTGAGGATCAAACCAAGAGCCTTCCACATGCAGGGCAAATGTTCTACTATTAAGCTACATCCCCAGTATCATGAGAGTTTTAAAATAACTATTCCTATTATGCATACTTGAGAGAAGAACAGGAAAGAGGATAGGGGATGGCTTATTTGGTAAAGTGTTTGCTGTATAAGTTCAAGGACCTGGATTGTTATCTCCAGCACTCACATAAAAAAAATGGGTGTAGTGGTGTGCATGGGCAACCCTAGTGCTGGGGCAGAAGCAGAGGTGGCACAGGGAAGACAGACAGATCCTGGAGCTCATTGGCCAATCAGTCTAAGAGAAAGGATGAGCTCCAGGTTCAGTAAAAGATAGCACAGCAGCCCATCTATAATCAAAAAGACTGGAAGGTGGAAACAGAACAACTGTATCTGTTAGCTCTGAGTTTAATTGAGAGACCTTGCTTCAATGAATAAAGGAGACTGAAAAAGAATTCTCAACACTGAGCCTCCATTTGCATACATATGTGTCTATATACATGCAAACATGTACATACACAAGTTTGCACATTATATACAATACTCATAAAAATTAAATTGAAAAGATGAAGAAAAATTAAAAGACACATTGCACATCCACCTTTAGTAGCTGCACAACTGCACATACATACACACAACACCAATGCGCACATACACATGTAAAACACACACACACACACACACACACACACACACACACACGGCATAATGAAGAAGTTGAACTACAGATAACAGGAAAAAGGACTATCAAAAAAAAAAAGGGTGTGGGAAGAACAGGCAGTTATCAACTAAGTGAACTTCTTTTATAGATAAGGAAACAGACACTTATAGGAGAGGAACAGAGTCCAAACTTGTTGGACTCGGCCTGGTACTTTCTTTCATAAAATTCTATTGGGGGAGAAATAGAACTGGGGCAAAAATAAAAGAAAGGAAACTGAGGAACAAAAAGCCTAAAAGTAGGTGAGGCCATTTTAAATTAGTTTATTAGAAAGTGAATAAAGACTAGTGAGGTTTTTTGGTTTTTTTTGTTTGTTTGGTTTTTTGAGACAGGGTTCCTCTGTGTAGCCCTGGCTGTCCTGGAACTCACTCTGTAGACTAGGCTGGCCTGGAACTCAGAAATCCACCTGCCTCTGCCTCCCAAGTGCTGGGATTAAAGGCGTGCGCCACCACTGCCCGGCGACTAGTGAGTTCTTAAGTAGCCTTTGTAACAATTCTATAAGGATGCCAAAGCAAAAGAATGCCTTTATGCCAAGTAGCCAGAGATATATCAACCAGTTAAGTGATCTAAGCCCTCCAGAATTCAAAATGTCACTATAGGTACTCTCCCTGGTGCTGGAGAAAAGAGGAGGGGAAATGTTAAATGATATAATGTCCCTAATGAATTTACCAGATTGGGAACTAGGATTTGTGGTTATATGATTCTTTTATATTTCTATTTTAATATGTTAATGCTGCTATAATGAGCATTATCAGTACATTTGTACTGTTAAAGTAAACTGTTAACTGACCTTGGCGTTTCTCTTAGAAACCAAATCTACAAAGTTTCACTAAGGGATGACTGGTACTCTCTGTAAGTATTTTTTAACTTCAAGTGACTGAAAATGGCAATTATGATATAAATTGTAATCTATTTGACTAGACCTCACATACACATGTGGTTCAAAGTTAAGAAGCTGGCATCACAAGCAGGAAAACTGGATCAGAGGAAAGGCAAATTAATCCTAAGCTTTAATAATTAAATTCCTCATTTCCTATTTCTTTAAATACTTTTTTCAACAAGACACTTCATCTTATAGAAGGCAAGTAAAAGATAAGAGGAGAAAGCAGAATAGTCTATCAAGCCTTTATACTATCCTTCTACTTCCATTTATATCAAGTAACAGACAGATATTCTTCATCCTAGTTCAAAGTTCTGAGAAATAACTTCTGAGTCATGACTCGAGAGCCTACCCTGGGAGAGGGCATGTGGAAGAATAAGCGTTCTGTACAAGACCTCCTCCTGCTTTCTAAACCTCCTTCCAGTTCTATTTCATCTTGTCATTGAAACTATCCTGCTAAAACCACAGTTCTCAAAAAGCAATAAGCCCTTCATGCTGGTTCCTATTACCTGGAAACCTCAGGTATTATTTCTGCATATGTTTATGGTACTTTTTCAGCCAGTCCTAAAGTTCTCCAGAAATGCCAGTAATAGTCTCAGTATATGTGATATCAATAAAAAGAGAAAATTCTACAAAGTCAGAGAAGAAAGGTATAGAATGGTGAAAATGAAATCAGGAAGCTTCTTTGTAGATAGTATCTACTAAACAATCAAGCCTTACTCCAAACAAAATCTTAGTGTGGAATCTCAGAGGCTAAATAAACAAAGATGGAACTACTTAATTAAGAGAACACTAGGCCTCCCTCCTTTGAAGTGCATACTTATTAGGGCATTGATTGCCTCCAGGAAATGTCACCTGAGAGACTTGGTCCTTAACACAATGGAAACTGTAAAAGGAGTATCCTCTCTTTGGTCATCTGGTTACCAATTTGCCAAAACCCTTAGTGCTTACTTTAAGAACATAATCTTCTATCTGGTTACAGCTTCATTAGGGTGCAATGTTAATATTTGAAAACAACATTGTCTATAATTTAGAACCATTGGTGGTTAAATTGTGTATGGTCAGAACACAACAGTGAATTTCTACAGGCAACCTTGTTTTATAGGCTAATAAGAGGAGCTCTGGGGAAGAACATTCATAATGTCAAGTTTGGTCCAGTACCATATGTTTTCTGCTATAATATCTGTCTCTATTAATCACTTCTGGGCTGCTTAGGTCCTTTCAGATTATTTATTTGAGGCAGGTCTCTCAAAGTAGACCTGGCTGTTCTGGAACTCAAAGAAATCCGCCTGCTTCTACCTCCTGAGTGCTGGGATTAAAGACATGAGCCGTCACACCAAGCAATGGAGTTAATTTTTACCGAGTTATTTCCATATTTAATAGGACAATTCTCTTACAGTCCCTACCAGGATAAAGATTTTACATCTTAAAGAGTTAAATCTTATCCCATATTATATATGTCTTATATTTAATATTTCTGAGCTAGACTAGACCCAAGAAGGTGTACACTGACACACTGACACTTTACACATACATAATCGAACACATAAAATCTTGAATTAAGAAGCTTGTAGTTAAAAACAATATCCACTCAAAGTATCTGACATGAACTAGAAGCTATTAACTCCTTGTTAGCTGAACTATTGAAGAGTAAGATTTTATTTCTTTTTACTAATTGGAGGTAGCTTGAAAAGAACAAGAATAATAGCTAGAATGCATCATGGCTTAATAAAGATATATTCCAGAGAAGTAGGCCTCTTTCAATGTCAAGATCACACAAGTCCATATTTCATATATGACTGAAAAAGCTAGTTTATGAATTAACACAGCATTTCTCAGGCTAGGAAAAGCATCGAACAGTTTAGAAACACAGCAGATGTGAATTCTGAACTACATTCCATCATCAACATTATTAGTAAGGTCATTCCATAACCTAGTGAGAAACCTGACTTTCTTGGGTTTTACACCAGGGTGTTGAGAATGTTTGAGATGACACTAAGGACAGTGATGTTTCAAGTCTTCCTGCTGGGAAAGAATTAGAGTGCTTGTCTCTAATATGCAA